TAGAAAGCAACCTGGGAGCCCTGTGTCTTCCTTCCAGGTGGGCCAAAAGTGAAGCTGCTGTGTGGCGCAGATTTACTGGAGTCCTTCGGTGTCCCCAACCTGTGGAAGAGTGAGGACATCGCCCAGATCGTGGGGCAGTATGGGCTCGTCTGTGTCACCCGGGCTGGGAACGACGCTCAGAAGTTCATCTATGAGTCGGACATGCTGTGGCAGCACCAGAGCAACATCCACCTGGTGACTGAGTGGGTCACCAACGACATCTCGTCCACGAAGGTCCGGCAGGCCCTCCGCAGGGGCCAGAGCATTCGCTACCTGGTGCCGGACCTGGTCCGGGAGTACATTGAAGAGCACGGACTGTACAGCGCCGAGACCGAGGAGCGCAACGCCGGGGTCACCTTGGCCCCGCTGCGGAGGAACACGGCGGACGCCAGCGCCTGAGCAGCAGCTGGCTCCTGGGACCCACGTCCCTGGGGCGCCCGAGGTCATCGGCGTGGAACCTGAGGAACAGAGCTGGGCCCTTTCCGAAACTCCAGCGAAATCGCTTGGTAATAGTCGGTATTAGGTTAGAACCAGGTTTATTTTTTTCCTTTGTATCAGAAGCTGCTCAGATAAATGTTGCCCTGTGATTTCTTCTTTCCCTAAGGACATACAAATCCCTTTATCTTTGATGAACAGCACTAAAACCAGACAGATACTCCAACAAGCTAGCTACACATCACAAGCCCACAAGGACATCTTGACTTTACCAGTAAGGGAGGCCAAGTATGAAAAGCACGAATTCAGAGAAAAGGGGAAAAGAGTTCAAAGAAAAGGTGAATCACAGGCCTCACGCCACTCACAGCCTCACGTCACTCACAGCCTCACGCCACCCACGGCCAGCTCAGTGCCAGCCTCAAGATCACATATGGTTTGCTGCTGATTAAAATTTTGTGGAAGTTTTACCAACCGGCAAAGCTGAGAAACCAGAAATAGTTCTTTACGGGATAGGTTTAGTGGTTTGTGAAAGTGTTCTGATAGAAATGGGGCTGCATGAAACTTCTAATAAAAATAGACGAATATATCTTTTTACAATATACAATGACTGCACCACTCTGGATGACTGTTTTTCATTGTGCAGTTGCATGGTCAGGTTTGAACCCACAGACTAGGAATGGGGATTCCAGACAAGGGTCCACGGACCCCAGGGAGCGCCAGCGCCCATCCTGCCCCTGCCACGTCCCAGCTCTGAGCGGGCACCAGGGTAGCACCTCAGACCAGCCCGCCCCCTTAAGCTTTTTGGAGGTAAAGTGTTAGAACAGTGTTGAAAAGAGCACTCTAGATGAAGTCCCCGACTTTGATTCTTTTCTCCCAGGAAATTGCCTCATTCCTCTGAAGAGCTGAGTGACCCACAGAATGATCCCACTCTGGAAACGTCTCTCACACTGTGGTTCTTTCCTAGCCGACAGCACCCAGGCCCTGCTTAGCTGTGTGGATGCAGTGGGCTCCCCCTACCCCCACCCCAGAGTCCTGGTGAGGGCAAGGCCGACCTGTTGTGCTATTTATGGGTGGACAACCAGAACATGCTGCCGGGCTTTTTGTCCCGGTCCAAGAATGCTGCCTGGTGGCGGGGTGCATCCTCCAGGAGGGAGCTTCCTCTTTGAAGGAAACTAGAACAATGAACTTCCATTGTGGAAGAAGAAAACACACCATTGTTTATTTCCCACGGGGCCTTTTTCGTGACCTGCTGTTGCAGTGTGAGTGCAGAGGGCAGGTGTGCAAGGCCGAGTTCTGTCCCTGTGCGATGTCGGTGTTTTCTGGATTGTTCCCTGTCTCACCATCTGTGTAAACTGAGTACAGCAGGTGGGCTGGAGCAAAAGTCCCCACCAGTTTGGGCCCATTGGCCATCCAGCTGAGGAGAGCCTGTTTGCCTGGCTAGTGGGACAGCAGCCTCCCAGGGGTGACCAGGGCGCAGAGATGGAGCCAAAGGGTGATGTCGGTGCCTCTCCTTCCATTGAAGGAGGCTCTCTCTGCCATCTTGAGGATCTCAGCATGGGCTGGGAAGAGGTATTCCCCAAAGTCACCATGCCCAAGGTCGGTGTGCCCATGGTCAGTGCGTCCAGTGACATAGGGCTGCTTCCTTCCCACCTCTCTGATTCACTTCTCGGGAGGTCCAGAAGTTGCCTTATGATGAAACAGGCGCCCTTAACATTCATCCTGGTGCCCCGGAATCCGTCCTCCGGCCACTCTTGTAACTTCCCGTAGGCCTCCTGACCTGAAATGTTCACGGCAGCATCCGCCCCCTCGCCTGGTGCCAGAGTGCTCATCTCTGACATCCAGACAGTTGCCAGGGGTGCCGCTTACACTTTGTAACATCAGTGCTTACTGAGCTCTTGCTGTGCGCTGGGTCAGGACCTCGCATCAACCAGGGAATGCCCAAAACGGCTGAGTGAGCAGGTTGTCGTCAGAGCTGTGCTCAACCACCTGACTGACTCTCAGCAAATTACTTTTTTCCAGAGAAGGACGTGTCAGCCCAATCATAAATGTTTCCTCCACCCTAAGTGACTGAGGACAAATAAAACTTTCGACACTGGGAGTCTCATGATGGCATCGATGGGTCAGGTCCATACATGTGGGCCAGTTGAGCCAAGGCTTGCCGAGTCAGAGGGAGGAGGCGATGGGAGCCGTCATCCCTCCTAGCCACCAGCGAGCAGAGAAAAGGTGCCCAAGTGCCCCTTTGGCACTAAAACACCAGCCTGCATGTTATTTCCCGGGACAATCCACGAGAAGCTGCCTGTAAATCACGCAAATCCCCTGTAAATCACGCAAAGGGCGTGGAGCCCCTCCCAGCCCTGAAATGCCTGGCCTGATGGAGAGTTGGCACCCGCGCTGGCGCCTTGCCACCCTCAGCTGCCACCTGCCCTTTCCCTTTTGCACAACTGACCGAGGAGGTATTTCTGGAAACCATCGCTATGGGAAGTGCCGAGGGAGGGCACAGATGAAGCCTCTTCTGCCGCCAGATGGCCTTGGGGGGTGGGCAAACTCCTGCCTCTGAGGTCAGCGCCCCCACCCCCACCCCAGAAGCCTGCTGCAGGCTTCCTAAAAGCGAGCTGCTCAGGCCCCCAGGCCAAGAAACCAGCAGACCGCTCAGGCTTCCAGGTAGAGCCAATTCCACTGCAAGTGGCTGGTTCATCTGACATTCAGGTGTGGAGGGTTTTGTTGTTTTTGCCCAACTTCAGCGAGCTTAGGTGGGAGGTTTGGGGGAGAGCAGAGATACCACATGGGAGGCCTAGCTGAGGTGGGGTGGGCGGTAGGGACAGCCCGGCTGTCCTGAGGCGCCAGATAAGGTTGGCGCCAGATAAGGTTCCCGCCAGTGCCCAGGGACGGTGGTGCCTGGCACAGCCTGGGGAGTTTCCTTCTCAGTTTTGACGGCCTTGGGGGAGATCACCCTCCTCTTGCTGGTAAAATTGCCACCTCCCTTAAATCAGTATTCAGCTCTGTGTTGGCCTCAAGGTCTTGACCAAATCTGCATGACTACAGAAGGTCAGCAACCTGGTCAGTGTTCCCCTATCGCGAGTAACAGGCCCCCGTTACATTTTAGGACTTTAGGCCACTTAATCTAGACAAAATTAGATCACAGAATAATGAGCCTCGCTATAGTCAGAACCTGCCGGTCTTGCTTCGTCTACACCCGTCACAGTTCCTGCTCAGCTGGCGTCTTGAAGCACACCCCTCTGTTTGGTCTCGACCACTGATACTTCAGCACGAGCTGTGTGTCAGCCTATACTGCTGTGTCAATTGTACTAAAGCCCGGAAGGGCAGTTCAGAGAGGAAGTGTCTTTGAAAATCACTTCTCCCCGGGGTTCCCTGGTGGCGTGAAGGGTTAAGCACTGCGCTAGCTGTTGCAGCCACGGCAGCTCAGAGTTCCATCCCCATCCAGGGAGTGACCCACAGAGCACAGCTGACCCCTCCTGTCTTCTTACTGCTCCCCTCAGCAGTGTACTTTGTCAGTCGGCCTGCTCTGTTCCCCGCTCTGTCTCTGGTGAATCCTCTCACCACCCCTGCACCTCTGGCCTACACCCCAGTTCTGTATGCATAAATAAATAGATCTTAAAAAAACAAACAAGGACATTTGTACGCCACACAGATGGGGATTCCAGGTTCATGGACAGAGTGAGTCAAGTGTCCCCCTGGGGCCCAGGGTCCCTTTACTCCATGGTCACAGTGCCCTAAACTTGCTGCCCCCCAAACTGGAGGCTGCTCACCAGGAGCAAGGCCTCCTGGACCATGTCACACATGGAGAAAGACTGGCTCCACTGGTTAAAATCAAAGCGGTGCCCATCCCGCAGACCTCTCGGGCTTCCCGCTGTGGGTCACCACGGCTGCTCATCAAAGCTGATGCAGATTCATGAGAAGCTGCCCCACTTTCAGGCCCTCCCTGGTGGCGCAACAGGGCAAAGCACAGCACCATGATGCTATCTGCAGCCACTGCAGCACTAATTCAGTCCCTAGCCAGGGAGTGGCCCACAGGGCGCAGCAGACCGCTCCTGGCTCCTCGCTGCTCCCCTCAGCAGTGTGCTTCATCTATCTATGCCTGTCCGGCTCCCCACTGTCTCTGGTGAGTCCTCTCACCGCCTCTGGCCTGTACCCCAGTTCTGTATGCATCAATAAATCTTTTTTCTTTTTTTTTTAAAGAAGCTGCTTCACTTTCCGACAACCAATCACCAGCCAAGCAGGGGGGCTTCTGTGAGTGGTTTGTCCTTGAACTAATCCAGATCCTAGTGAGTGCTTGTTTGCGGACAAAGCGCCTCCCCTGCCCCGCCATTTTGTTTCCTTTGCAGTATGAAGTGGAGGGAGGGAAAGGGCTCACATTTGGCCAATTGACTTTTTTTCAGAAACAACTTTAGAAGATGTTAGACTGTGGTGGCGGGCCCTCCCTGGTGGCACAGCTGGCTGGGGCACAGCACTGTGAAGTTGGCCACGGCCGCTTCAATGTGAGTTCGATCCCCAGCCAGGGAGGTGACCCACATAGCACAGCAGACCTCTCCTGACCCGCCCGCTGCTCCCCTCTGCAGTGTGCTTCATCAATCTGCCTGCTCTGCTCCCCACTCTGTCTCTGGTGAATCCTCTCACCCCCTGCATCTCTGGCCGTACCCCACTTCTGTATGCATAAATACATACATCTTTTTTAAAAAGAATGTGGTGGTGAACATTAGCTCCTTATCCTATGGGTATGTCCAGCTTCTATCCAGCTCAGCTAAAATTCAACCCTTTTCATTGTTGACGGCCCTCGCCCAAGCTGGCCAACAGCCACACCACCCAGCGCAAACACCCAAGTGATTGTTAGCTGTTTCTATGATGTTCACGTTCAGGCCAATACTTAGAACAATAAGGTTTAAGGCTGGGAAGTATGATTTCTCTGTGTCCTGTTTCCTAGTCATCTGGAATTTAAACAGGTTTCCTGCTCAGATAAGCTGGTCAGAGTTGAGAGTTCTGTGGCTTTTAAATGGCAAGAAGAGGCGCACCCCAGGATTTGAGAACGGCTGGCCACCTCCACCAAGGGGACCACCGTCTTCCTCCTTTTGGGTGAGGCTACGGTGGCTTCTCAATAACACAGTGTTTCTCCCCTGGAGAAGGTCATTGTCGGGGCTCAGCAAATATCCTGGGGCACTTCCAGGCTCAGTGCTAGACCCCAGGGATACAGAGGAGGTAGATGAGTGGTTCTCTGGCCTTGAATTTTAATGAAAAGTGTCATTGGTAAAGCAAAACAGTAGAATTATGGATTATCATCTATAGGAAGGGAGGAAGAAGTGATACAGAGCACCAGAAGGTGGCTCTGAAAAAGTTTTTCTGATTTTTGCAGAGTTCCATGTATTTCTCTGGCCAAATGCTAAACTGCCTGAAAAGACAAAAGCAACACGTGGAGAATGAAAATAGCACCTTTATTACACACCACTTCGTGGCTAGCAGTCTAGCTTTGGGTGAGGCTCAGGTAACTGACAGAGTCTGTTCCCCAGGACAGCTATTTCCAGAGCTCCCAACCCCTGCCCCTCTCACAGCTAGACAGGTGGCCGCACTGCATGGCCCAGCCCGCCAGGACCACTCACCCCAGCACCGCTTGGTGGGTAGGGAGACAGCCTCCCAGCGCTCCGGCCACTAGAGTGGGTTTGCTGACCAGTAACTGGCGCCACGAAATTGGAGGATATTCTTTGTAGGTAGAGAAACACGAAGTGTTTGGCAGGTCTGGTTTAAAGTAGGGGGGAGACAAGGAGAGAACAGGGGAGGCCTTTTGGGGGTCGGGAGTAAAACCAGGAGCTCCTGCGAAAGGAGATAGTGGTGTAGAGGGCTGCTGCCCCCAGCTCCTGCCAGTGCAGCTGGCCCCCAAGATCCCTGCCTTTCCCTGCTGCATAAACCCAGAGTCCATCCCCCACTCGCCAGTGTCACACCCCCCCTCCCCAGTTCCAGCCATGTCCACGACCTCAGCGCATTGTTCAGCAGTGACAACTTCGAAGGCTACATGCGGGACCTAGGTGGGGTGGGCGGGGCCGGGCCTAGGTGGGTGGGCGGGGCCTGTTTCCAGGGCAGGGAGTCGTGCCTGCCCTGACCCTCTCTCCCTGCCTCCCCTTCCATCGGTCCTTCCCCCAGTCCACCTGTCTGTGGGTCCCCAACCCCCACCCATCCGCGCATTCCCCATTCCCGTTTCCCAGTCCGCTCCCCCCACGGTCCGTCTGTTCCCCTGTCCTCCTGTCCCTCCTGCACTCCCAGCCCCGAGCCCGCCTGTCCACCCAAGGCGTCTGCCGCCTTGTGGCCAAGACTCTAGTCCCGCGGTGAACTCGCTAAGAGAGTGTGGCGCGGCGGCCACTCAGTGGACTGAGGGACACGAAGAGGGGCGGCCGGGCGAGGGGTGCGCTGGCTGGAAGCATCCTTTCCCGAGCCGCCTTAACGCGGGGCTCTGTGGCTCTCCCCGCCGCCGCGGAGTCGCTGTCGCCCGGAGCTTGTCCTGGACCCCAAGGGCTGGTCCCTGCGACTAGCTCCGGCTGGGGCGGCTGGAGCCCGCAGGGGGTGCTGGCGCCCAGGCCCCGGGGCCTCGGTTCACATCTTCCGTTCAGACTTACCCTTCTTTCCTCCAGGGCGTGGGAGCCGGGGTGGGAGCCCAGCTTCTCAGGGGCCGCGGGCGAGTGGGCGCCTGCAGCGGTGGCCTTACCCAGCCCCCGCCCCTCGGGGCTGGGGTGCTTGGGGGAGCTGGGTCTGCCGTCTGCGGGCTGGCGCGGGCGCCCCTCTTGAAACCCCTCCTCCAGTGCCTCAAACTTGGCCCACCGTGTGCCAAGTGCTTTGCTTTAAGGACACCCACCTGGTGAGCCCTGGGCAGGCAGAGGGCTGGGCCCGAGGGGCTGCTCTGGCCCCTGTTCTGATGCTGGGCCTCAGTTTCTCCCAATGTTGATGGGAGGGCTAGTTTCTTTATAGTCTGTTAGAGTAGATGTGACACAAAATGTGTCCTCCTAGCCGAGCTGGAATGTTCTGGCCTGTACTGGGGGAGGGGGTGTGCGGCCCTGAGCAGGCGGGGCTCCCCTAGCCCCTTCACACCAAGTGGGGAAGTCTGGAGCTGCTCTGGCTCTATCTGGCCAGACCCCTCAGATCTTCCAGGCAGGTAAACATCTGGCAGAAAACTAACTCCTGACACCCTTTGGGAAGCAAGGACACTGGTCAGCCCCCCCACCCCCTGGGAAAGGGGGTGTGTAGGGCAACAAGCCTCCCAGCTGCCCCCCCCCCACCTCCTTGCCTCTATCTCTCTCTCTTTCTCTCTCTCTCTCTCACCCTGTCATAGGCTTATGGCTGGCCTCTGGGCACCACAGGTACCTGCACTTACACACACGTGCATTGTGCTCTCTGGGCCTGGTATGCACCCATAGCTGTGCATGCCCACACCCCACCCTGGGCCCCAGGCCTCGGGTAGTGGCCGCAGGACATACAAATGCCAATAACTTCATTAGTCCTACACACCCCCTTTCCCAATGGCTCCCGGGAGGCCTCTGCCTTACATACTTCCCCCCCAAATCTGCCTGACTCTTCACCTCCTTAGCTCCAGCTGAAAGGTCACCTGGTCACTCTATTTTAAAGAGCAACCGTTGCTTCTAGCTACATTACTTGTTGGGAACCAGGCTGGCTGAAGCGGGGTTTCAGTCTTTCACTCACGGTTCACGGTTCACGGTTGAGAAACTGCAGTCTGAAGTGTAAATTCCTGACACAGAACAGGCAGAGGCTGTGGTTGAGGCTGGGTTGGGGGCCAATCCCGCCCCCAGGCTTCCTGGTAGCCTTCAGGGGATTCTAGGAATTGCTGCTGCCATGCCCGGCTCCACTGCCATTAGCCTTGGCCTTGTCGGTGGGTGTTCAAAAGTTTTTCTTTCTTTAAAAATTATTTTGAAAAATGATGGTGAGTTGGTGGTGGGAGTTTTATGGGGAATACATCTGAAGGGAGAAAGTACACAAACAAGCATGCATTATACAACAACGAACAATGATTTGAAATATAAATAAATATAAAATGGATATTTATATATAATTAATTTATACATAAATAAAATTTAAAAAATTATTTTGAAGCTTTGACTTTGCCACTTACAAGATACCCAAGTTGCTGAAGCCACAGAAAGTGATTGAGCAAAATGGGGGTTCTTTTGTCATCCTGAGGAACTAAATGTAAAGTGGGAGAAGAATGTGAGGAAGATAACAAAGGCCTGGATAACAGAAAATGCAAAGTAACAATGAAAGCAAAAAAGAAGTTCTTCCTTTTTTGCAGAGTTACTGACAGCCTCCTTCGTGAGACCTGAGGATTCTGCCAGAGTAAGCCCCTTCCTGCCCTTCTCCCTCAGAGCTTGGTTACCTGGGAAGGTGACCGACTCACCTGTGTCCAGAAAGGGGAGAAGAACAGAGGCTGGGCCCACGGGATGAAGGGGGTGAACACCATCTGGTACTTGCTGGGTTTTGCTCTTTTTTTTTTTTTTCTAAAGAAAATTTATTTATTTATGCATACAGGAACTGGGGTACTGGCCAGAGGTATGGGGTGGTGATGAGAGGACTCCCCAGAGGCAGAGTGGGGAGTAAAACAGGTGGATCTATTGAAATCCACTGCTGAGGGGAGCAGTGTGCAGGACAGGACAGGTCTGCTGTGCCCAGTGGGTCCCTCCCTGGCCGGGGATCGAACTCATGCTGCAGTAGTTGCGGTAGCTTCACAGTGCTGAGACACAACCCCTGCACCACCAGGGAGGACCCTGCTCTCCTTTTTGCTAAGAAGATAGGAGAGTAGAGTGAATCAGGAGACCTCTGAGAATCCCAGCCCACCCAGCTGTTTGCAGTGTGGCGGGCCACCTTCCAGCCTCTGTGCGGAGAACCTGCCTTTTCATAGCGTGTGAAAGCCTAGTCTGGCTTTCTCAATAATTCTCTTGTTGGGTTCATCATGCAGTCATCCAAGAATACAGTAAGTAGCAGACTACATTATATTTCATCTGGCTGATGAACCCTCATTTAGTAAAACATTTTCTTGAAAGTATCAGGGTAGTAGTCTCAGTGTTTTTGCAGAAACAGTAACGTTTCCGCTGTTGATTAAATTCACATACACAGAGCCTTTGGCATCCTCGTAGATGGTCCCTTAGGAAGAATTTACAGGATCTGTGAGTCTCGTAGCCACACATCATTGCCTCTTGCCACGGGGCTGCCTTGTTTGCCTCCAAAAGAGGGTATCATTTCCTATGCCGCCTGCGCTTCTTGAATGTACAAATTCTAGTGCAATCTAATCAATGATTTCTAAATACAATTTAGAAGGCATAAATGCTTTCAAGGCTTAATAATAGCTTTCTAGAGGAGATTTCCTTCCTGCCGTATATAATGGCTGACTGTTTTGGTGAGTGATGATTTTGTGTCCAATAACTGTGCTAAGTCCTTTGAATTATCTGTCTTCGTCCTCAAGGCGGTCCTTTGAAAAGGCATTTCCCTCTTACAAAGGAAGAGATGAAGAAACTCCCTAAAGCTGCAGGTGAGGATGTGTGATCACAATGCTGTGCCTATTTTCCCCCTCCGTCTTTGTAGGTGTAAAACCTCAGCGAGATTCATGGAAATGACACTGAGTACTGAGCCTCGGGTTGACTCTGGCTGGCCCTTGAAGGTCTGGGTAGCCTGATGATAGGGGCATTGACAGTCTCTGGGTCCTAAGTGAACACGTCTCGACGCAATGTGCTGACGACGAAACAAGGAACTCACCATCACAAACTCGATAGGCACCTGCCAGAGAACACCCAGAGCTGTTAGAGGGTTTTGATGAGTTGCTGGAAGGAGGTGTGTGTCCTGCTTTGCAGCACCGGGCACTGTACCCAGGCAGGGCACAGAAGGACCCTACTCTAAGGACATACACGGGCCAATCCTTACCCTGTGACACAGTGAAAACGACAGATTTGGTCTTTGCCATTTGCCATTTCCGAGAGAAGTCAGGCAGCACTCAGAGGTGGCACGCGCGAGAGAGATCTAGCTGTCACCCTGGTGGGCTCAGTGGGATTGGTGCCAAAAGTCTGAGCCCCAAACCACAGGAATGGGAAGATTGTATAAGGAACCTTGTCATGCCAGCCATCAGAGCATAAACGTTCTTTATCGATTGGGGAGGGGTCAAGGTAGCCACAGCTACTCCTGTGGGCCAGCAGCACACTGCAGGGACTTTGTGCTCCAGCCAGCCTCAGACTCCTGCCAGCAGCAGGCCTGGGCAAGCAGCAGAATCTAAGCACCACACTCGGGCAACTTCCTGCTTCAAGATGACCAGTGGCTGAAAGAGTCAGTATGGATGCCGGCTCCCCCAAAGATCAAGGCATGATTCGTGGCCAGCGACATGATTCACTGATTTCAGTTCCCCAGTGTTGGGACGGAATGACATGTTGGACAGCCAGGGGTGTCAGAGCCGGAGAAGAGGCTCTGAGGAAGACACAGGCCAATGTCCAAGAGTTCGGGGTAACAATAATCACACCCCACCCGCCAGCTCTTCTGTTTCCCTTCCTCCTTGTCCCTAGGAAATGTTCTGCGAAAGTCAGTGTGCAGACAGACCTTCCGGAGAGCCTGAGCTGTGTCCAGCAAGAGTCCACGTGTGGCCTCATGGCCACTTATGTTTCAGAACGAGCAGACGCCAACAGCTGCCAGAAACCACTTAGACAGCGGGAAACTGCTCAATAAACCTGAGCGACCCCTGAGAGCAGCCTCGAAATGCTACAGACTAGGAGGCTGGAACAGAGGGTGCCTCCCCCCACCCCCACCCCAACCCCCCACGCGGGCCCTGCCTGCCCTGGAGCAGAGCCAGGCTTCTGGAAGGAGGCGCAGGGCCTTTCCAGGCTGGGCGCGCGCCGCAGACCGGCTCTACCCGCGCCTCAAGCGCCGCGGGGGAGGCGCAGAAGCGCTGGGGAGGAGAGGGCGTCTCCGGAGGTGGGGAGCGGGTGCCGGCGAGGGTGACGGGTCGCTGGAGTCGGCCAGGGCCGGTGCAGAGGGCGGCCCCACGGCGCCCCCTCCTGGACTGCCGCGTGCATCCTCCTGCCGCGGGCGGGCCCTGGCTTTTCGGGCTTTGTCTTGGTTTAGATTTTAGGCGTCTAAAAAATTGTGGAAAAGTACACATAACGAAAAATGTACGATTTTAACTGTTTAAGAGAACAGTTCGGTGACATTAAGTGCCCGCACACTGCTGTTCATCATCACTCCCGTGCTCTCCTGGGCTGCTTCTCTTCCAGAATGGACTCTGCTCCAGGCGATAACTCCCCGTGCCTCCTCCCAACCGCGGCACCCACCTTCTTCTTCCTGTCTTGAAGCAGAATCATGGAAGAGTTGCCCTTCTGTGTCTGGTTCACTCTACGTCGGGGTGTTTATCCATGCTGGCGTGCGGGCATCTCCTTCCCGCTAAAGACTGGGCAATATTCCTTGCATCGCGCTATCGGGCTGCGTCCCAGCCGGGTGCCACCACCCTGTGTTTATCCTTCACCCACCTACTTCTAGGGGCAGCCCTGGGGCACCTGCACGGAGCACCATGATGATCTTTTGGATCATCCCATCCTGGTTCCCCTTCCCCCTTCAAAAAAGAAAGAAATTATTAAAATAATACATCTTTAAGAAAACATGTGGTGTGGGCCTCCCCGGGTGGCACAGCCGGTGAAAGCGCAACACTGTGAAGTTGTCTGCAGCCGCTTCAGCACGAATTCCACCCCCGGGGAGGGAGTGACCCACACCGTGCAGCAGACCTCTCCTGACCCGCCCACTGCTCCCCTCAGCAGTGAATTTCAGTCAGTCGGCACTTTCTGTTCCCCACTGTCTTGGGTGAATTCTCTCACCCTCTCTGCACCTCTGAACTGTACCCCAGTTCTGTATGCATAAATTAACAAATCTTTTAAAATGTGTGTAAACACGATGGAATACTACTCAGCTATAAAAAAGGATGGACGTTTCCCATTTTGATCACGTGAATGCAGCTGGAGGTGGTCATGCTAAGACAAAAGCCAGGAGATTTCCCTCATGCGTGGAAGCAAAAGAAACAGCCAAACTGCTCAAAACAAACCCTAGAAATCTGACTAGAATTGAGATTCCCAGAGGGGAAGATGGGTGCTGGGGAACAAAGGCAGAGGGGCCCAGTGGAATGTGGTGGGGGGCTACATGTGCTTTGGTGGTGGGTGTGGTGACAGTGTTTGCAGAGCTGAGAGCTATACAGCCCTAGGCAGATGCAGTGTTGCAAACCACTGTTACCTCATTTAAAAAATAATTTAATTAATAAAAAAGGGGGACATCACAGCCCAGTAGACACATGTTGGCTGGTGAAGAATGAGTGTGTGGGAAAGAGGTTCATCTTAAAGCAAATCAGAAAACTGCGAGCTCACTAAAAGGAAAGTTAAAAAGATGGGTGGGAGGGCCCTCTGGTGGCGCGATGGGTCAGGACGCAGCACTGCAAGCCGGCCACAGCCACCTCAGTGCCGGTTGCATCCTTGGCTGGGAGGTGACCCACAGGGCGCAGCAGACCTCTCCTGGGCAGCTCGCTGCTCCCCTCAGCAGTGTGCTTCGTCCATCCGCCTGTTCTGCTCCCCACTCTGTCTCTCGTAAAGCCTCTCACCGCCTCTGCACCTCTGGCCTGTACCTCAGTTCTGTGTGCATAAATAAATAAATCTTTAAAAAGAAAAAAGAAGGAAGAGGGGAAAACTGGGTAGGAGGAGGAAAAACAACATTTCAATTTTGCTTGTAAAGGTATTGTCCTTTGTTAGAACGTGACTCATTAACATTTTTAAAGATTTGAACAGCTTTATTGAGTTATAATTTACTTACCGTGAAATTCACCCATTACAAGTGTATGGTCCAATAATTTTTAGTAAGTTTATATAACTCCCATAATCCCAGCCTGTCACTCTGAAGTTCTCTTGAGCTTCCTTGCTGACCATTGTTATTTTATAACCTCTTTGGAATCTCAGACCGTGAAGCTCAGTGGATCTGAAAACTTATAATGAAGTTTTTTATTCTTTGAAAATTTTTTTCAATATTTTATTTTTATTTATTTACTTTTAATAATACAGTAGTTTATTTTTACATCATTTTGTGCATTTTTCCATCTCAATTGCAATCCCCTTGGGCTTCCCATCACCAAATCACCCTGTGCCATCTCCACAATCCTGTGTACTTCCCTCCCCCCACTGTTTTTGATCCCATTCCTCACTCTACCCCCATAAAATGCCTCTGGTATATAACTGCTCATTATTATATAATGAAAATTTAAAATATCACTTTTGCTTCTGCCCAGGGCAAGAATCTCTCATTCATTTCTCAAGATCTTTGGTAGGATGCAATTTTCTCAAATTTTCTTGCTCTCCCTTCATTTGAAAGGTCTTCAGTTCTCCTCAGATGACAGATTTGCTTTGATATTGGCTTGATACGGTCACTTGCATGTAAGTATCTTCTGGGCGCCATATTTTGCACCTGGAACAAAAGTTTTTTAATCAGTAACAGTAAACAAACTTTCAGTTGAGGTTGAAAACAATAGGTGAACACCCTACAGGAAAATGCCCTCTGCAGACCACAGTTGTAAAATTATAGAGTAACTAGTTGTTTCATGGCTTTGAAAAGTGCTTTTCTTGCTATTGAAAAAGACAAGCTGGGAAATCATGGTTCTCATGGCAGCCCTGAGAACAGTGGCCCCTGGTGGGGGGTTCAGGCAGTAAATGGGATCTGTACTGTTCCGCCCACAGTGCTGGGAGCGTGGGCATCACGGTTGCCTCTGTAACCTGCCTTTTTAAAAAGTATGTCATATTGATTAAAGACAGTCATTTAGACCTTATTTTTTAAAGATTTATTCTTATTTATTTATGCATATAGAATGGGGTGTAGGCCAGAGGTGTGGGGGGTGAAAGGATCTATCAGAGACAGAGTGGGGAGCACAACAGGCAGATGTACTGAAATCCACTACTGAGGGAGCAGCGGGGAGACAGGAGAGGTCTGCTGTGCCCTGTGAGTCACTCCTTGGCTGGGGATGGAACTCAGGCCATTCTGGCTGGCAACGGCTTCACAGCGCTGAGACTTTAACCCCTACACCACCAGAGAGGCCCCAATCATTTATACTTTATAAAAAATATTGCCCTGATGGACACAAAAATTTTCTGATAATGGCAATTAAAAACAGCCACTCTCCGCCCTCCGCCATCGCCCCCCCCCCCCCGTATCCTCACAAATCTTCAATTCAGATTGGCTTAATCTTGAGGTGTAATCAAGTAAGGATGAAGACCAAATGCTTTAGTCCTGCAGAAGATAATAAAATATATGTGAGCCTTCTGGACCCTTGACTGGTCAACATCAATACAGTGCGTTCACCTCCAATGACAAGGTCAAGCTCCTGCCAGCCCATCTGGCCAGGAGGTGGCCACAGAGCATCACCCTCTTTTGTAACTTCACTGCCCCCAGTCCCTCTGTCACACCCAAATGCACAGAAGCCTTTTCCAATCATGACATTTTATCATTGCTGTTGGTGGTAAATTTTAGTTCTGTATCGGATAGGAGTTCAAACTCCAGGAACTCATGACCAGACTTGCCTGACTTCTCATGTAGTAATTCAGATAAAAGCCAGACCCCTCGCTCACAAGTGAACACGATACCCCACTATAAAATCGAACCACACCACTGACTTCTAGGGCTGCCTGCAGAAGTGACCTAGTGTGAAGGACTTTGACAGCATAGACCATTACTAGGGCTAGTGTGCAGAGAGAGAAGAGAAGGCAGGATGCTAGTCTCCCAGTGAAACACCCAAAGTTACCCATCCTCTTCTGGGTAAATGCCCAACTAAATAAGGTTGGCTCAAAGCGCGGCCATGAGGCCTAAAAATTGCCACAAGTCTAAGGCACCTTTTGGCATAGGACCACAGGACAGGGGCAGGAGGGGCCAGGTAAGTCTGGGAGGAAAGGAGAAAATCAAAGGACAAATCCAGTTAAAGGCTGCCATCGTCAGCCTCCCCGTGGGTCACCCGCGTCTTCCAAGAGTCTTTCCAGGTCTCAACTGCACGTGTCACATCCAAAGCCAAGAAGCAAGCAAGCCGCCCCTTCTCGTGTCTCTGCTCCATGTGCCACCTCCAAGTGCCTCTTCCAAGTCTTCTCTCAGCCTCCCCTCACCCACTCAGCTACACTAGGTAGGGCAGGAAACCTGGAACCTCCCTTTTTTTTATGGAAATTACATGGTTACAGGGCCCTCCTTGGTGACACAACAGGTTAAAGCACAATGTTATGAAGCTATCTGCAGCCACTGCAGCATGAATTCGATTCCTACCCAGGGAACTGACCCACAGGGTGTGGCAGACCTCTCCTGACCCGCCCGCTGCTCCCCTTGGCAGTGTATCTCAGTCCATCTTCCTGTTCTGCTCCCTACTTTGTCTCTGGTGAATCCTCTCACCACCCATATCTCTGACTTGTACCCCAGTTTGTGTGTGCATAAATAAAACTTTTATTTTTAATTACATGGTTACAATCCCCCTTTTTATTTTCTCTCCATTTCTATGGTGGCTAAGATCTGGGGGTGCAGTCTTAGGGGACAGCCTTCTCTCGGATCCCAGTGTGCCTAATCCTCTTCCCATGTCATCGCAGCTATATACTTAGAAGGGGATCCGGCACCTCCCTACTACTGTGAGTGGCTGATTGGAATAGTCTCTTTCTGCATCTCCCATACCCAGAGCGATTGGCTTAGGGCTAGGTAATGAGAGCACAGTCAGCCCAATCAGAATGGAGAGTGTTTATTTACTGAGGGTGGGAGGAAATTTCATTCTTCCTGTTTCTCACTTTCCCCTCTTCCCCTCTTATCTTCAAGGCAGGTGATTTAGCACCTAAATCAGTGTGAGCTGGATTTTATTACTTGCATTGTATGAGACCTTATGGTTATGTTTTATGATAACACAGTAAGATAAATATTATCCAAATTTTATAGACTAAGAAACTGAATAGGAAGGTAAACAATTTGCTTAACGTCTGATTTTAAAGGTCATGTTATTGGGCCCTCCCTGATGGCACAACGGGTTAAAGAACAGCACTATGAAGCTATCACCAGCCACTGTAGCACCAGTTCGATCCCCAGCCTAGGAGGTGACCCACAGGGCACAGCAGACCTCTCTTATCTCACCCACCGCCCCCCTCAGCAGTGTACTTCATCAACCTGCCTGATCTGTACCCCACTCTGTCTCTGGGGAGTCCTCTCATCCCTCTGCATCTGTGGCCTGTACCCCAGTTCTATATGCATAAATATATATATATATGTTTATTTTTACATCATTTTGTGCATTTTTCCATCGCAGTTGTCATCCCTGTGGGTTTCCCACCACCAGATCACCCGTGTGCCATCACCATAGTCCAGGTCATTTCCCTCCCTCTCCCCCCCTTTTTGATCCCATTCCCCACTCCACCCCCACAAAATGTCTCTGGTATATGGCTGTTCATCATTATCTTTATTTTCTCGCCTGGTCCATTATATTCCTGCTATGAGAGAAACCATCCGGTATTTTTCCTTTTCTTTCTGGCTTAAAGAAACCAATCTTAAAATAATAATAATAAAAAAAGCTCATGCTATTTGCCATTGTGCTCGCACTCTTAGCCCTTCCTGTGATGCTGGATAGCATCTCTAGTTAAACAAGTATATATTCCAAATATTAAATACAGAACTGAAGCTTTCCATTCAAACACATGAATGTAAATCAACTAAGAAAAATATTGCCAGGAAAAAAAGCCATAACTTTATCACAACAAAGAGACTGCTCTATTTTCAAAGGAAAGGGAAAAAGGAACTTTGGAGTGGTGCCAGTGCGTTCCAGAACCCGCACACTTGCCAAGGCTTTTTTCCCCGTTTGGAAAGTCTGTCCGAGCTCCTTACTATCTGTGTGGTAAGGACCTGGCCCTCGTCGGAGGTGGGCAGGTACGCCTGTGCCTGGCACCTGCACAACACAGTGGCCCAGTCAATGTGGCCCATCTTGTGAGTCTGCCAGGCCAGCCTGGAAACAGCTGCCTCTGGACCCTTTGGGTCTTGACGGTTCCCGGGCATTGAACACGGATGCGCAGGGATGTCTGGGTTGCCAGCCCCGCGCTGGGCAGCCCCAGGTTGCCGAGAACACCTTGGCCAGGAAAGCCAAGGTGGTCTTGGCCCGTTTTGCAGGTGCCCAGAGAGGCGGCCGTCAGTGTCCCCCGAGGGGTCCCCGTGGCCTGTGCAGCAGGGCCTGACCCTCCTGCCTTGCTCACACCTCTTTCCAGAAACTTCACACAGGCCCTGCGTTCTTCACTGGGTGCTGCCATGCAGGTAAATACCACAGGTAGGTGACGGGTGTCCCCTTCTTTTTGATTAAATCCATCCCGTGCTGACCTCAGGCCCTCTGGTCTGCGGTTCCAGCTGGGCGGCCATTCTGGCCTCGCAGCAGCTCTCCTGCACGCCGCTGCCTGTCAATGCCGCCCTGACCTTGGCCCACCCCACTTGCACTTGACGAATTCCTCACCCTCCCTGCCCGCTGCCTCGCGGAAGCAGGGCTTCTCACTGCTCCCTACACTTGATTCTCAAAGTCCTGCAGCCTGGCCTCTTGGGGCTCACGTTACACCCTGCTCAGCGCCCCAGTGGGCCCAGGGGTCCTGAAGGCGGCGAGGGGCGGGAGGTGGAGCCCTCACAGCGCAGGGCTGGGGCCGCCAGGTGGGGAGAGGCCTCACCACGGTGCCCACCTGCCTCACCTCTACCCGCCTCCCTCCTCAGAGGGCTTTGCCAAACCCCCGGTCTTTCGGTGTGAAACGTGGTCCAGAGGCGAGGGGGCTCCCCGGCGGGCCCAGCACCCACCCCCCACAGGAACAGGCTTCAAACGGGTTCAGGGTGTGTCCCAGTGAAATGAACGTGGTCTTTGTTCTTCATGCTGACTGTCTGGCTGTGGCTGCTTTCCAACTGGGCTGAAGGAAAGTACTAATTTTCTGCTTGGAGTCAAGGAGGGTGGTGCGGACGGCTGCGTCTGGACTGGATGGCGATGCCATTAATTCCTTCCAGGCGGAGTGGAAACGCCCTTCTGTTATGTTCTGACACTTATCTTCAGGCCTAGGGCTACCCCAAGCCCAATTCTCTCAGTGCTTAAAGACAAATGGTCCATCGCAAGGTGGTGTTACTACATGCTGAATTATGTTGGTTTCTATTATTGAGATACTGGAAAATAGGAGCAGGCTGATGTAACCGGCCCTCTCCCTCAGGATACATAGTTCAAATCTGTTTTTGTTACATTTAAATTACAAGATATCCACATAGTCAGTGGGTTTGGGCTCCTCTGTGGGTGGTTGAAGATGGAAATAAAAGAGGCAAAACCAACCACACAGTTCTTCTAATACTAAATTTTAAGTATACTATTAATGAGAATACACTTAAAAAGAGCCCATTTGGGGGCCCTCCCTGGTGGCGCAGCGGGTTAAAGCACAGCACTGAGAATCTAAAGCCACTTCCTCATGAGTTCGATCCCCGTCTGCCCCGGAGGTGACCACATGGTGCAGCAGACCTCTCCTGACCCGCCCGCTGCTCCCCTCAGCAGTGTGCTTCATCAGTCGGCCTGTTCTGCTCCCCACTCTGTCTCTGGTGAAGTCTGTCACCGCCCCTGCACCTCTGGCCTGTACCCCAGTTCTGTATGCATAAATAAATAAATCTTTTTAAAAAATGGGGGGCTGGGGATGGGGAAAGTCCAACCTTTTGAATGGACGCGCTTCTGAATTGGGTTAAGTGTGGGGGGCAGAACAGGTAGATGTAATGAAATCCACTGCTAAGGGGAGCAGCGGGGAGACAGGATTGGTCTGCTGCGTTCTGTGGGTCACTCCGTGGCCGGAGATCAAACTCACTCTGCAGTGGCTACAGATAGTCTCATAGTGCTGAGACTTTAACCCCTACTCCACCAAGAGGCCCTATTTCTCCCAATCTTAAAAACAAAACACTTTTTTTCTAATTTATTTAATAACATAATAGTTTCTTTTTACATCATTTTGTGCCTTTTTCCATCTCAGTTGTCATTACCAAATCACCCTGTGCCATCACCATAGTCCAGTGCACTACCCCCCCCAATTTTTGATCCCATTCCCCACTCCACCCCTGTAAAATGTCTCTGGTATATAGTTGTTCGTTATTGTTATTATTTTCTTCCCTGGTCCTTTATACTCCTGCCATGAGAGAAACCATCCGGTAGTTTTCCTTTTCTTTCTGGCTTATTTCATCAGCATGATCCCTTCCAGCTCCATCCATTTGGATCCAACATGGATCCCTTCCAGCTCCATCCCTGTTGCTGCAAAAGGCATGTGTTTGTCTTCTTGATCGCTGAGTAATATTCCATTGTGTCTCTGTACCACATGTAAAAACAAAACACTTTTACCCCACTCCTCCCTCCAGTTACTGTCCTGTTTTGCTGCGGTTCTACCAATGTCAAACTTCTTGAGAGAATTTTCTGAACTTGCATCTTCCTCAAGCTCACTTGGATCATGTTCCTGCCCATCCCTCCTCCAGACCTGCTCTCAAGGTCACCAAAAAACGGTGGCGCCTAAAGCCAGCGAACGACTCAGTCCTCATCTTACACAATGTCTCAGCAGCATTTGAAAGCGTGATCTTCCCCTCTTTCTTTGAACACTTTGTTCTCAACTTTGCAGTCTCTCTCCTTGCTTACTCCAACTCCATAGCCCGGCCGTGGCAGTCTCTTTGGCTGACTCCTTCACCTCTCCTTGCTTCTTAATGGCAGAGGCCACAGGGCTCAGCTCGAGACCCTGTCTCTTGTTAGCATCACTTCTTTGGTGATCTCTCCCCACCCGTGACTTTAAATCTCGTCGACATGCCAGAGATGCCCACTGATGTCACCAGTGAGTTTTACTGTCCCTTGGCTCCAGATCTGTATATCTGCACGAGGCATCTTCTTCAAGCTTTATTAGCTATCTCAACGGACACACTCAGAACTAAGCATTTTGTCTTGTCTCAAAGTCCACTGGGTCCGCCGTCACCCAGGGAACCTCAATGTCATGCTCTCAGAAGGTGTAGCCACTCTTCTTTCTTCTTGCTTACACGCCATCCACAATCATGTTGCCTTCTCTTTTCTTTTTGAAAGATGGATTTATTTATGCACACAAGAACTGGGGTACAGGCCAGAGGTGTGGGGGGGAGGTGGTGAGAGGAGTCCCCAGAGACAGAGTGGGGAGCGGAACAGGCAGATCCATTGAAACCCACTGTTGAGGGGGGCAGCGGGGAGACAGGAGGGGTCTTCTGAGCCCTGGGGGTCACCCCCGGCTGGGATCGAACTTGCATGGCTCAAACTGGTGCTGTGCAGCCAGGCTGTGAGTGCATAGCTTCCAGTGCTGAGACTTAACCCCTTGTGCCACGATGTTGCCTTTTCCTTCGACATCCAGAATCCTTTCGTTGCTGCCACTTTGGTTGAAGCCCCCAGCACTGAGGGTCACTGCACCTGTCACCTGATGGGTCTCTGGGCTTCTCTTGCTCCCCTGCTGTTTATCTTTCAGCTTCCAGAGCAATCCTCTGAAGGCAAATAAAAGAGATCAGGCTATTTCATTGTTCAAAACTCTCCAACAGCTCCCATCTGAGATTAAAAACCCCACAGATGTCACCTCCTAGTTTCCCTGATACTCATTCTGCTTTAGCCGTGCTGGCCCCGGGCCAGGCTACTTCTGGCTCAAGGCCTTCTTTTCCCTCTGCTCCTGCTGCCTCCCACTGATGTCCATCTGGCTCACCTCTGACTTCCTTCAGGTCTTCAGTTATCTGTTCAGTGGTGTCTCTGAGCACCCTATTTAATATAGAAACACCAGTAAGACCCCCTTCTCTTGGATTTATTTCAGTCTACAGCACTGACCATTTTCAAATATTCCATCCAATTGTCATTAGCATCTTGTCTGCCTCCCCAGACAGACTGTAGGCGCCATGAGGGCAGGCATTTACGCTTTGGCTTATTCTGCTCCTACAACCCTCTCTCTAGTCAGTGTTCAATAAATAATTTTTGAATGATTATGCACTTTTGGAGGTACAGGGGTTCTAGCAATAAACCAGACAGCCCCGGTCTCTGACCTCAAAGGGCTTATATTGTCGTGGGGTTGGAGTGGTGGAGGGTAGTAAACAAGTGGAAAACACAGGAAGTCATTTCAGATGTTGATGTGTCATGAAAGAACGGAACAGGGCCTATAAACACCTGATGGCGAAGGGGGCTTGATGGTGGAGCCTGGAGTCCAGGAGGCCCCGCCCACGATGAGCAGGTTAATCCATGTACATGGTCCTCATGGTCCTCATCTATCAGTTCATATTGTGATGGGTTTTCCGGGGGTGGAAGTGGGACTAGAGATTCTCCATTCAGAATCTGTTGAGAAATATGTCCTAGGAGAGAAAAAAGTGAAAATTTTTGTTTACGTAAGTTTTTAAAGATCTTATTTATGCATGCAAGAACTAGGGTACAGGCCAGAGGTGCCGGGTGGGGAGGTGGTGAGAAGATTCCCTAGAGATAGAGTGGGGAGCAGAACAGGCAGATCTACTGAAATACACTGCTGAGGGGAGCAGTGGGTAGGTCAGGAGAGGTCTGCTGTGCCCTCTGGGTCACTCCCTGGCTGGGATTGAACTTGCACTGTGGTGGCTGCAGATAGCTTTGTAGGGCTGTGCTAATTTAACATGTTGCACCACCAGGGAGGGCCCCAAAGTGAAGATTTAAAAAAAAATTTTACTACTCACAAAATGAACTCATATTTTACTCTTCAATAGAACTACTATACTCAGCTAGTCAGAGGCACAGCTGGACCACCCTGACTTCCCCATGGGACAGAGCCTGCCTCTGTGAGCTTATTTCAGCCGGGAGAGTAAACCAGGTTTCCGCTCCCTGCGAGCAGGGTTATCAGAGAGAAAAACAAAAACAGGTGCTCTGAGTCTGAAATAATCAGTTCCTACTTTTTTTTTTTTAAGATTTAAATAATATTTGCATACAGAGCTGGGGTACAGGCCAGAGGAGAGGAGCAGGGGCAGTGAGAGGATTCACCAGAGACCGAGTGGGGAGCAGAACAGGCAGATCGACGAAGTACACTGCTGAGGGGAGCAGCGGGCGGGTCAGGAGAGGTCTGCTGCTCCGTGTGGTCACCTCTGGGGGCAGGCGGGGATTGAACTCATGCGGAAGTGGCTTTAACTTCTCAGTGCTGTGCTTTAACCCGCTGCGCCACCAGGGAGGGCCTCAGTTCCTACTTTCAAGTTCAACCATCAGCTCATCAGTCAAAAGAGTTGGAACTTTATTCAACAAACAATGGGATGCCAATGAAACTTTCAACAGGTGAATGGAATGATCTGATTGGTGTTTTGAGACAGTCCCTCCGCCTACTTTCTGAAGAATAGAGTGAAAACGGATGGGAGAAGAGCCAGGCCAGTGAAGTGGCCCAGATGAGAGTGGATGGTAGTTAGCTTGAATTAGAGGAAGCAGAGGTGTTGGGAAGAAGAGAATGAGAAGGTGGCGATTATTTGGAGTAAAAGTGGCGATACTTTGCTGACTTTCTGGGGGCAAGAGGCATTGAGGATGATGCCAAGGTTATTGGGTTGGGCAACCAGATGGCTAGTGATGACATTTGCTCTGGAAGGAGGGGTCATTCACGGAGGCAAACAGTGCAGCCAAGTACAATTGTCATTTAAGCAGTTGCACACAGAAGTCTGGAACTCAGGGAAGAGATCTTGACCTCAGTAGAGTCTTGGCAGTAGACGCATAATGCTTTATGGGGATCTGGACAAGCTCGCCCAGGGTAGGAGAGCTGAGACAGAGAACAGAGCTCTAATGCTCCACAGTACCTAAAGGTGGGCTAGAAGAGGCAACAAGTGAACCTGAGAAGAGCTTCCAGTGAGGTGAAAGGAAAACCTGGAAGCCAGGATGCATAATGACGTCCTCATTTGACATCACAGATAGGTGTTTTGAAACGGTGACTTTGAGTGAAATGATGTAAAACAACTGTGATTTTGGATACCAACCTCTAGGCTGAGAAATACATTTCTGGGGTTGAGAATCCACCTAATGGCCCAAACTGACTAAGACAAATATTAAACACACCAGGTAGGTGGTGATGTGTTCAGCAAAAGCACTAGTGACAAAAATAAAAATAAGCAGGATGCCACCAAAATAAGTCATTTTGTATTATAAATGATACCATCAAGAAATGAAAAGGAACGGAAAAGACATTTGCAAGTTACATATCTGATAAGACACTGGTATCCACAATATATAAAGAATGCTGATAAACAGAAAAAAAAAGAACTCAAAGAAGAAATGGACAGAGAATTTGAAAGACATTTGTCAAAGAAGAGATGGAAGTGGTGAATAAGTAGATGCGAAGATGCTTCAAACCACATAAGCTATCATCTCACATCTACTTGTAAAAAGGCGCTAACAGGTGCCCATGAGAATGTAAGGAATTGAAGCCTCAGGCGTTGCTGCTGGAATGCTACTTGAATACAGTTAGTTCCTCAGAAAGTTGAACATATTACATAATAATTCTCCTTCTGGAGACATTTGCTCTGGAGACATTTGCACATAATAATACCCAAGAGAAATGAAAATGTGCACACAAAAACAAATATATTAATACTTTTAGCAGCATTATTTGTAACAACCAAAAGGTGAAAATCAACAATGTTTCTAAACTGATGAGTGAATAAGCAAAAAGGTGGTATATCCACACAAGGGAAGATTATTTGGCATTGAAAAAATGAAGTAGTGACATATACCTCAACATGACAGATCTTGAGAATATAAATTGAGTGAAAGCAGCTAGACACAAAAACGACATAGTTTATGCTCTTGCCAATTCAAACTGTCCAGAGTAGTTAAATCCGTAGGGACAGAACATAGATCAGTGATTGCCCAGAGGGAGGGAGGGGAGTAGGGAGTAACTATTTACAGATACACTGTTTCTTTATGGGATCATGAAAAAGTTCTGATATTAGTGATGATGCGCTGTGTCAATACACTAAGACCACTGCACACCTTAAGTAGAATTTTATGGTATATGAATTATATGGTAATCACAATGTTAAGAGAAAAAAAACAAAACACCCACAAGAAAGATGTGCATGTTATTAATGTCCCTAGGAGTCCAAATTCTGACTTCCACAGAATTCCTTTCCTGGAGAGCAGATAATATGCAAAGTCTGCGGTGATCTAATTTTACTCAACATATCTAGCTGTCAACTTACTATTTTAAGCCTGAAGCAACAAAACAAAACAAAACAAAAAAACCCACGTAATTTATAATTCTGGAATGCAATCTTTTAGATTATGGTTTAGTAATCTGTCCAATACAGCATGTTCTTTGTATGTCACCAAAATCTGGACTTTTTGATACTTTGACTGCTCAAGTTGGATTTGTATATTATAAAATACGTATAGTCTTCATAAAACAGATCGGCGTGGACTGAGTGAAAGGGGTACAGGCGATCAGAAGGCACAAACTCCCAGCTAAATTCGTCCTGGGGAGGGAAGGTACAGCAAGGCGACTAGTTAACAGGGTATTATGTACTTGGGAGCCTCTGAGGGTAGATCTTAAAAGTTCTCATCGCGAGACATTGGAAAGTAGGGTTCACTAAAACTTGTGGCCATATGCACGGATATCAAGTCATTGTGAAAAGCAAAACCGCAGATACTTGACATCTATTGGCCTTGACGCCAATAAAAGGGACAATGAGATGGATGCTGTATGCCGATGGTGCCTTTGAAGACAGGCATTCTCCGCCAGGCCGGCTGTGTCCTCGCGGGGGACTCAGGCCATCCTCGTTTGTGTGCGCACTTCCAAGTTTTCTGGGTTCCGCATTCATTTATACTTTCAAATTTTCCCATCGCTCTGAACACACTTAAACACAAACCAAGCAGGCGCCATCTCGCCAAAAGGTCAAAGAGAAGTGAAATGCGGTTCTAGTGGCGTTAGTTAGGTGGGCTCTCGAGGAGGTGAAAGCGGTGGCACTAGGCCTGGCCGAGCCTGAGTGGTCAGTCTGTCGGTCAACACTCGTTCCAGAAAGGAGACGTCTTCCCCGTTCTTTACTTCACTTGGGGGGCAGCCCCGGCGAGTTGGGGCGCCCGGGGACAAAGAGGGCGCGGCGCGTGCGGGGCCCCTTCGGGCGATCTTCCCCGGGCAGTGACCG